TACTTGAAGCGTTCCCACTCGGCCATAAGGCTCATTAGGCCCGCTTGCTCACTAGGCCTCTGGGTTGCGGCACGCCTTGTCCATAGTCCATAGTTCAGGTATTTTTGTTTCAGGAGTCGCCGGAGTCGCATTGTCCCCGACTTGTAACAACGGTCCGACATTGTTCCAACAGTCCAACAGTGAGTTCAACTGTCCAACAATCCAACCAGTCCAGTCCAGTATTGCAGCTAACAGGCAATCGGGACCAACATGCAAGATGACCGGTCATTATCATCTTCATCTGTCGTCGTAAGAAACAAAAAGAGTTGCTCCGGGACATGGAAGGACTCATGTGGCCGGCCACTTTTGCCGTGCGCCCGCTGCCTAGACTGCTGACCAAACTGCAGTGCATTGCATGCATGACTTGTAGGTTTTCATGATTTCATGGTGCGTTCCTGCACATGCAGCTGCAGCATGCATGCAGCATGGAGACATGATCGAACATGGAGACACGAGTCACGAGACACACATTGCCACTTGACATGTATCATGCTTGGAGTCGTGCAGTCATGCAGTCATGCATCACTGCTGTGCGACAGTCAGCTGTGTCGGCTGAATCAGTGTGGGGCTGGACCTGACTGACTGACAGTCAGAGAAAGCCACTATTCTCTCTAGGAAATTCGATTGTGCATCGCAAAGCACGCGGCACACAACGGTGTGTCTTGCCCCTTCGCTGTCCTTGTTGCTACCGTGCAGGGCAGCCAGTGTGGGCAATGGTCCAAAATAAGGGGACGGCCAAGATTGCCAAGGCCAAGGCCGCCAAAGCCAAGGCAAAATCATCGGTGACCAAAGAGCAATCGGGCCGTCCCGAAGCCTCAGCCTCTACTGCTGTGGAGTCTGGGACCTCTGCCACTGGAGGAGCCCGTGTCGGCGCTGTGCTGCCCCCGGAATTCCAAACCTTGGAGCTCGGTGCTGGTGAGGGTGTGCTCTCCCGTTACACGGTGGCACAATGCATGGCTCGTGGGATCGACGTATCGGATGGCAAGTACAGCACCGTTGACCTGTTTGGCCCCAGCCTCACGGGGGCTGCTTATCTGGAAGCGGTGTGGAAGGCCTTTGGTGAGGAGGAGTGTGACGTTCCCTGGTACACAGAGAGAGGAGACGGCACCAAAGTCAGGAATGTGCAGCGAAGTCCGTTGTCTCGCCCAATTCAGAACAGCACTGCTTCGGCATACATGCACCGCATCCTGAAAGAGGGCTTGTCACAGCTGGCTTCCGGACACTTGGCATAATTCCAATTGATTGGCATGGTGTGGGGCCGGGGTTGACTTACACTTATGTGATACTGTGATGTGAGATGGGAGTTGAGTTGTTCCACTCCGTGGCTTCCAGCCACCCTCGGCTGAGCTGAGGCCGTCTTCCGCTGGAAGGACGGGACACGTTCCTTTCCAGCGGAAGCTGGAACTTTTAATCACAGGGCCGAAGCGCTCTACAGGGCGGCAGAGTCGCATGGAGACAATGTCTTTGTCAAGCAGGCCCTGGCCAGCGGCCTTCACCGGGTCAAGTTCATGAATCTTGGACCAAACGTAGTTCATGTCAGTTCATGTCATGTTTAACAAAATCCACTGTACATTTGGGTACACTTGTCACTTGTCTGTACCAGTACACACGGTACATTGACGGTACATGTGTGGAGACTGAAGAGTAGATTCAGAGTAGAATAGTAGTAATCACTAAGCGTCCAATGGACTCCATGTCACGTGCTGGATGCAGCTGTAGTCGATCAGTCGGTCAGTGACAGTGACACTGCATGTCTGTATGTGCAGTCTACAACACGGATCATTTCGACAGTTTGACAGACGGGGTTCATCATGTTGAATCATGATGAGGTGTGACATATAGCATCCATGATTCATCATTGCACTGGTGCAGCATATTGCTACAAACTCGCCCGGCTGGCTGGTGTGAGATTGACCCCGGCGCCGTGGGCCGTCAGCTCAGTCGTCAATCTTTGGCAACACAAATCACCGGCCTCAGACTGCTGCAACACAGTGGCCGCCATGTTGTCTACAGTCGATCATCGAATCAATGGGAGCTAGATTCTGGATTCAGTGCCGTGCAGGGCGTGTGACGTGTGGGGGTAGGGGGGGGGGGGGTAAGCACCATGTCAGGCTATTTCAGTCTCCGTCGCCGTCCTTGTTCTTCCCCCCCTGCCATGGCACGGCCAAGACTCGAGCTAGCTCAGGTCAGTCAGGTTGTTGGTTGTTAGTTGTTAGGAGTTGTGTTAGGCTGAATGTTGCTGCTGCGTGCAAGGAGCCACAAGATCAATCCGAACGTGTGGAAGCGCTTTATCGAAATCCATAACCAATTTCACGTCGGTTCTGGAACATCTTATCTCGATTTATTGATGGAAGCAAGTAGGATGGAGAGCCTGTGGCGAGCGGATTGCCAGAGCAGTGGCATGAGTAACTTGGCCGTACGTCAGCTCTGCATCAACAGTGCATGTAGTGTATACATTGATAAACGGGATGAGTCGACGCTGTATCAACTGTGTTGGTCATGTTCCTGAGGCCTTTATTTCTGGTGTTGAGTAGCAGTGTTTAGATTTGGTCCCCGTCGTTGTTGTCGTTGCTGCTTGTGTTGATTGCTGTTGTCGTTGTTGTCGTCGTAGCTGTTGTGAGCGATCGTTGTCGGCGTCGTCGTTGTTGCTGCCGTTACCGCTACCGCCGGCCGCTACCGCTGCTGGTATTGACACTGCTGCTGCTGCTGCTGTTGTTGTTGTGGTTGTGGTTGTGGTTGTAGTAGTAGTAGTAGTAGTAGTAGTTGTTGTTGGACAGTCGGCAGTTGTTGGTTGCTGTTGTTTGTTGCTCTTGTCAGTTGTTCTTGGAGTTCTGGTTGTTGTTGTTGTTGTTGTTGGTTTTAGTTGTGGTTGCTGTTGTTGTCGCTGTCGTCGCCGTCGTTGTTGTTTGTTGTTATAAATTGTTGTTGTTGTTGTTGTTGTTGTTGGCTGCTATTGCTCTCCTTGTGGCTGCTGTGGTTGGCCAGTGGTTGGTGTTAAGGTGTTACAATTGGGTGTTGTTGTTTTTTTCCGCTGTTGTTGTTGTTGTTGGCTGTTGGCTGTTGTTGTTTGTTGTTTGTTGTTATTTGTTGTTGTTTTTTTGTTTGTTGGACGTGTGTTGCTTAGCTTGTTGTTACTTGTGGTTGTTGTTGATGTTGCTGCTGATGTCGTCGTCGTTGTAGTTGTTGGTGGTGTTGTGGCTGTTTGTTGTTTGTGACTATTGTTTGTTGATTTTTGTTTGTTCGTGGATTCGTGGTCTGTCGTTGTCTGTTGTTGTGTGTTGTCTGTTGTCTGTTGTTGTTTGTTGATGTTGTTGTTGTTGATGTTGATTCGGTTGTTCGGTTGTTCGGTTGTTGTTGTTGTTGTCGTTGTTGGATTGTTGCTGCTGCTGTCGTTGTCGTTGTTGTTGTTGTTGTTGCTGCTGTTATTGCTGTATTTTTTGTTGTCGTTGCAATCGTTGCCGTGGTTGTTGATGTTGCTGTTGTTGTTGTTGTTGTTGTTGTTGCTGCTGCGTTGCAGTCGTGGTTGTGGCCATTGGTTGCGGTTGGTGTTGTGATGTGGTTGTCGTGCTTGTTGTGGTTACGGTTACGCCTGTTGTTGCAACAGCAACAACTTGTTGCTGTTGAACATTGTTGAACATTTGTTGTTGCTTGTCACTGTCACTGCTGCTGGAAATCTGCGAAGGTACAGCCAACCCGAGATACCTGAATCACTATGAGACGTTTGTCTTCGCCGCAAGCGAGCACTTCAAGAAGTGGAACCCGTACAAAGAAGCCTTGAGTGTGGTTCATCAGCTACAGTCGGTAGACCAGCTGCTACTTGGACGCACGTGATGCGTCTGAGACCGAGTTTGAGTCCACGTTGATATGTCCGTCGCTAGTTGTTGATTGTTGGATCCTGCCGGCAGCATGGCAGGATTGCATGAACGCATGTCATGACTCACGCCTGGCCCGCCTGGCCCAGCCATTGGTGAGTAATGAGTAGTGAGTCACAGTCGCGGCACGTCATGGCCGCATGGCCGTCACGGAACGTCACGGTCACGGTCAGGGCCATGACACGTCACGTCAGGGCACGTCATTAACATGCCTATAGTCCTATAGTCCTATAGTTATAGCTCCTGTAGGACTCATCGACTCATCAGGGCTCGGAACTCGGACTCAGTCACTAGGACTAGTGCCTTAGAACTTAGAACTTAGAACGATTCGATGCACCGCAGGTGACAGATAATGTGACGTAATCGACTAAGTGACACAACTCTCATGTAATATAGTAATGCGGCGAGCGGGTGTCGGCGGTCAGGCGCAGCGTGAGTAGTAGGTTGCAATAAGCAATGATTCTAATATAATGTAATATGTCTTGAGGAATGATGTGGTGATATGTGCTGAGTCTGAGTCATGTTATCCTAATTATTGATTCATTGATTCAAATTATTGATCATCAGAATCATCATGTCATACAGTCATGCTGCGTCATCAGTGTCATCAGTCATGCTTGTCACGCTACGCCGCCACGCCACGACTCCCACGGCCCACGGCTTCATGAATGACACGTGTCACGTGCACAGCCGCAGCCCAGCTTGTGCATGAAGCAATGAAGCAGCAATGAAGCAGCTAGGCTCAGCTAGGCTAAGCATTGTCAAATTGCAGCTGCATGCTGCAATCTAGACTCTAGACTGTGTGACTATATCTCCATGACTCCATGTCACGATGTCACTGCCACTGCTTTGTGACGTCAAACTGCAGTGCCGGTGTAGTGCTGTGGCCTTCTGTCGGACGATCCGTGGATGTCTGCGGCTGTTTTAACACGCCGTGACTGTAACATTCACTGTAACATTGTAACATGGTAAGTCGTCAGTCCGTCAGTGTCATGAGTCGACAGTCATGAGTGTCTTTAAACTTGCTGTATTTCCAGGACGGCTTTGCAACAATGGTCCAATGCAAATGTGGATTTTCTGAGTACCGAGATGGTGCCGTCCGCGATGATCTCCGTGATGCATGAACTTCTTGTTGCTCTGTCCTCCACGATGAAGCGGTACTACGACAAGGCCACCATGGGCATCGTGATGGTACAGGCGCTGAAATTCTGCGCATCTGCCTCGGTTGGTCGTTGGCCGTTGGCCCGAGTCATTGGCCATGTGTCATGTTAATGTTAATGTTAGTCATGTTGTTGAAATCTAGCTAAGACATCAGTGGCTAGGTGAGGAGCTTTAACGATTGAATCATGTCACAACTCAGACGTGACATCTATGCTTGATACTCTGAGTCGGCCTGTATTGCGTGTGTGTGCTGTGCCAATGATGTGATGTATCTCTGATTCCATGATGAATGATGTATGTGCCGCGAAGCATACAGTTCGATGTGTCTGATTCTGTGTCGCCATCGTCACCGACTTCAGTCATGTCAACATGTCGCTTGTCAATGACACAGACCCAGACTTGATGGACCCTTTTGCGGCTGAGGTGCCCACCAGTCTCATAGACGATGGCGGGGCCCGTTCTGGTGAGCGAGAGACCCCCTGGATTTTCAAGAGATGCAGCACCGAGGCTTCCAAACTGATCTCTTTGCTCATGCTGCCCATGCATGGGTCGGTGGTGTTCCGCAAGCTTGGTCTGGAGGTCGACCCTGCCGCAGTGGCCAAGAAACAACAGATGCAGGAAAAGAAAGCCGCCAAGGATGTGTCCGTAAAGTCCCGAGTGTTTGCCGAGCTGCGGGCGAAGCTGCATGAGAACGAACAGTTGCAGACGGATCCTGTGGATGAGGCAGGCGATGATGCTGCCGAGGATGTCGAAATGACAGATGACGTGGACGACGAAGATCCCGAAGGACGGCTCAATCCGCGAAAGCGAAAGATGACGGATCAGCAGGCCCAGGGCGGAGGAGTGGAGCTCGCATCCGGCTCCGGCAAGAAGGCAATGCTGAAGAGCTTGGGCAGCGGGTATAGCGAGGAGGAGAAAAAAATATCCACGCCCGTCAAACATTCGCTGGATATGCAGGAGCAGCGGCCGAAAACGGCACTGGATGATTTCCTCTGCGCCATGAACTTTGTCATGGATGAGATCAGGCAGGAGTGCGAAATCGCCTGGACGGAGTCCGGCCTCACGGGAAAGCCATTGAAGGACCCTGTTTGCTTTGTCATTGCCTACAGAGTCCCTGGAGTCGTGGGATCGGGGTCTCGGGAACCATTTCTGATGTGCCGTGCACTGTGTCCGGTGCGACCTGTGTGGACACTGGAACTGTCTCGTGCGGTCCATCCCTAGTGCTGTGACACAGGGATCGTGTCGGTCAGTGGACTCGGACAGTGTGATATAGCAACAGGCAAAACAGATGATAAACGACAACACATCACACGTGGCTCGCGACTGTGTGTCTGCACTGCAGCGAGTTGTGCAGTGCAGAGCAGTGTACTGCAGTGCACTGCCACATCGCCTTGTGAAATGTGACACATTGAGCCACATCGCCCTGTGAAGTGTGACACATTCAGGTCAGATCACGGCATGCCCAGCTACTGACATGCTGGCTTTTAAACAATAACATTAGCTAGCACCTTGGGGGGGGGTCGTGCCAAGGACGTGTGTTGTTGTGCACACGGCATGTGATGTGGCAGTAACCTCATGCCTCATGTACTCATGTACTCATCGCAGACTCGCCTCTCATTACTGCGGACTCAGACTAAGCCTGTGTGCTCTGTGCAGGACATGCGTCAGAAGGAAGAGATTGGCCTCCAAGGAACATTGGCATTCTGTACCATGATGTGGCTCGAGTTCGTGTGGACGCAGAAGGTCAACGTAGGTGGAAAGCAGCATAGGATCTACAGTTCACTGCGGTCCGAGCTTCAATCTGTTGTGCGGGCGGCACACGTGAAGCTGACAACGACAGGGCAACCATCAGGCATGAAAGCTGATGCGGTGGACGCATTGTCTTTGGGTCAGATGTTGGTGAACCAGTTTGCCAAAACCCCGGTAAAGACTGTGGTGTTCAATGATGAAGAGGACGCATCCGTGCACAGGGTTGCTCAGGTGATGGCCACCAGTTATGACGGGGTTGTCGTACCAATCCAAGATTACATCAAGAAGGTTATCCGGATGCCCCTGCTCATGCACGACGTGCCTCGCGAGTCTTTGGTCAACATTGCCGCCACCTGTGTCCACAACAGCATGGACTCTCGATGGCACCCATCATGTCAGCATGTCGGTTTATAATTATAATACACGACATGCAAGAACATGACTGATGCCGAGAGTCCGTGCTGTGGTGGCTATCGCCCACCGAATGAGGGACCTAGAGCCTCAAGACCTAAAGTCCTAAAGTTCCAAAGGCCTACTGCGCCACATGCCCTGTAATACACTGTGTGCCGTGGCTGCCATGGTTTTGCGTTGGTATTGTCGTTGGTCGTTGGTCCATGGTTGTCTATTATCTTTAAATTATCATTTTTTCGTGTTTTGTTAACTCATTCACGGAAAGCCTGGAAGCTGGAAGCCTGCACTGCCTGCCTCAATGCTGTGGTGATCTGCATCATCAGTCAAATCGAGCACTGCTGGTGAACGCATTGCCAGATGTCTGCCTGCCTGACTGCCTGACTGCTGTGGTGATCTGCATCATCAGTCACATCAGAGCCTGGTGAACTTGGTGAACGCCACGGTGAAAGTCATGAGCCATGAGCTTACATGAGTCCCATGAGTCCCATGAGGGCCTTAACCGACAACTTAACCGACCTAGACCGTAGCTGGAACGAATCTGAGGAACTGTGCGATGTTTTGGGCAAGATTGAGACAGAAATCACCAAGTTTCTGCCCTGGCAGTGTGTGGCTTTTGCGGGTGACGTGAGCGAGTGCTATGTTGCCAGACATCACTTTGTGGAGCAGACGGGCAAGGTCAGGCTACAAGCGGCTACAGGGTCGAGCCAGGGTAGGGGCGAGGGCGTCCACGTCCACGGTGTCTAGTGTCCGGTGCAAAGTAAGACCCAAAACAGTGTTGGCCGACTCGACTCCAACCATGATTCATGATTCAAGATAAAGATGCATGATGCAGAGGCACTACTGCATTCAAAACTGTGGCATGTGTCATGGAGTCATGTGTCAGCATGTTGTTGCATGCGGCATGCGGCGGCATGACACGCGGTGCCAGGCGGTGTCAGGGTACCAAGCCACATGAGTCAACATGAGTCAAAGGTTGGCAATGTCCCGAGCACAGTATTTAGACAGTATTTTTGTTTTTGCAAAACTGGGGAAGTATTTGGGTTGCATTCCACAGCAGCAGCAGCGATGTCAGCGAGGTCGCATTAAAAAAATCGACGGCACAATTCGGCACACTACATCAGTCTGACATCATCCCTGACATCAATTGAAGTCAATTCAATGCAGTGTGCAGCATCACGGAAGCCGTCACAGAAGCGAACCCGACGTCGCCGATCGTCGTTGCATGTGGGCGATGTGACTAGACATTCAAATCAGCAGCGGTAGTGAAGGACTGCAGTGTCCTGTCCTGCCTGTCATCGTCACAATCACAGTCAAATGACATGGTTCCGGTGATGATGAGCATGATGAGCCCCCTGCGTCGCCTGCGTCGTGAGTCGCGTGTCCGTGTCGTGCGTGCACTGCACTGTCGGTGTCAGCCGCACGGCCGTGGGGCCGTGGGGCCGCGGACCCGTGGGTAGTTGTATCGGAGACAAGTGGCAACCAATGGCAGTACATAAGTACATATGCCCCGCCGGCCCGCCAGCCCATCCCCCTTAAAGCACATGCATTTGTGCATCTGCCTGCGTCTGCCCTGTGTTCGTTTTGCACCATGCAGAATACGTCTGCTAGTTTTTTTGTGGGCTGTGGGTGTATTATGTGACCCTGTGACCGTTTCCGTGTCTGTCTCGGTGTCTCTCTCTCTCTCTCTCTCTCTCTCTCTCTCTGCGTGTCGGTCTATTCATGGGGACTGTGTAAGGCCTGTGTCGTGTGACTGTGACTGGTTGATCACCTGGTCAGTCCCCGAAAACAGGTGTTCGGAGATGTGGCGACTTTGGAGCTGTACTTGTCTTCTCGATTGCGGTACTTGTTCTACACCCTGGATCAGTGCTTTGTCCTGCCGAACTTCAGCCTCACGACCCGTGCCGAACACCTTCCAAACATCCTGAAGCATGCGGTGGCACTCATGAACAATGTTCATGACGACACATTCGATGCCACAGCCCAGGCCTTCAAGAAAAGTCTTGCATCCGTGTCCGTCCTTGTTGCTGCCGACGTGCTCATGTGCAAGAGTCAGTGGTGCCGCACATGGGCCACGCTGCTGCTGCAGGCGTCTACTTTGTCTCAGTTGGAGGCATCTGCCAGGGATCTGATGGGTCTTCCGGCTGCGCCTGAACAGGCCACTGAACAGGCTTCCAAGGCAGACCCAGCGGCAGCGTCGAATGCGGGTGCGTCAGGTGTTGCGGCGGCAAATCTTCCGGAGGGTGATGGTCAGGGTGATGGTGATGGCACGGACAAGACTGTTCCTGAAGAAGACGAAGACGAACCCGTCGATCCCACCGATCCCGATGATGCTCAAGCCGCTGGGGCCAACAGCACTGGGAAGGAAACACTAGATTCGTTCCAGAAGGGTCTCAGCCTTTCTCGCATCAACCGTTTCCACATCAAGACGACTATCATGTCAGGAAGTGCACATGCAGAGATTCTAGGTCTCAAGCAGGTCAACAGCATATTCGTGCGTAAGCTGGAGCTGCATCTCGAAAATGCTTTGTGGCGTCTGGCGGGGGAGTTGGAGAACTCCCAGGACATGGTTGTGCGGGTGTGTGAACCCAACAAGCACGATGTCTTCGTGATGAACTACCCCGCATTGCATGGGCGTCCACGGTTGCCATTCATGGGGCGTGTAGTCCAGGGAGGGAGTCAAGCCGGGACTTCACAGCACTTCCTGTGCACTGTCTTCGGGCTGAACTTTTATGTTGAGCAGCTGCCGGAGAAGCACGGTGTCAGTGCTCCGGCGTGGTCTTGCAAGGTGGTTACGCGGGCTGACCTGGCTTTCTGGGAGATTGTGCGTGCCAACTTCAGGGTGATCATCCGGCGAGGTGATGCCACTGAGTGGCACGGGCTCGGATTGGGTGATGGCGATAATGCACCTTCTGACAGTGACCTGGCCAATCTCGATGTGAAGGTGCTGATACCCCATGATGTGGCCCGGGAAAAGAACAACCTGGGTCTGGGTGCCAGAGTGCCTGGAGCCACAGACGACGAGGATGTCAACAGCAAAACCAAGGAAGACAGAGACACACAAGACATCAATGTGCCAGAGACAGCGCCATCCACCGAGAACGAGACTGACAAGTCTGACAAGCTGGAGCATAAAGGCCAGGACATGGGTGACATGAACATGGGGCCGGGGTCGGGGTCAGGGTCCAATCCCACGCCGAATGTGATGCCTGCGATCCATATTGACTTCCATGTGGACTACTTGACCACCGTGGCCAACTTGGACGACAAGCTGCAGGCGGAGCTGAGGACTAGGCGAGAGAAGGCTGAAAAATCAGCACGACAGCTTCTGGAGAAGTCAGTGAAAAAGGTTGCCAAGAAAGGTGTCAAATGGGACCAGATCACAGACGCACAGGAGCGTGCGGCTGTCATCGAGCAGCAGATGCAAAACGAACAGGAGGCTGATCGTTTGGCCAGGGAGGCTGTGGAGAAGTGTACCATGGCGACTACGGTGACCTTGACACGAATGGCAAGCGCAGATGAACGCACTTCGAGGTCACAGAGATCAAAGCAAATGCAAGAAGCTCTCCAGCATGCGCAGCAGGAGGCAAAGGGACAACAACAACCATCGATCGTGGATGACGATATGGCCGGCAACGGCTATGGCATGCTTGCTGCAGTGTGTGCAGCCGAACAGGCAGCAGTTGCAGGAGGCACGGTACACGGTACACTGTACACAATACATGATCATGGTGACATGGTGATAAAACATCGGCTTCGTCCCAGTACAGTAGGTGCGGTAGATTGGCGGTAGATAGGCGGCTGCCATGCCGCAATGCCGCCTTTGCATCAGTCACATGTCATCATGTCATCATGGCATCACGAGCATCATGTCAGCGTGTCATGATCATGTCAAGATAGTCATGATAAAGTCATGAGTCATGAGTCCTGCTACTACTTGACTCTTGACTTAGTAAACTTAGTCCACGTGCAGTCGCTGCGTGTTGAAGACAACCACCGCCACCGCCAGACCGTCAGGTGGAGAACCCCTCAAGAAGAAGGCTACAGCAAAGTCCAAGGCCAAAGCTAAGGATTCTGCATCGAAAACCACTGCGGACATTTTGAAGCAGGCACGTCATCTGATGAAGTGAATGCATCGCATGCAGTAGGGCAGTAGGGCAGTATGCAGTGGACAAAGTGACGACGCAGTGGTTACTTTACTGCTGCGTGTTCGTAGTGCTTGTTGTCGGAAGCATATTTCTTGCGGTGTCGCGGCCGGAAATTTGAATGTGTGAATTTGTATGAATTGATCGAGAGTTCATGCTGTGAAATGTGACACATATCGATAATGTACTCTGTACTCTGTACTCTGTTCTGTACGGCCTACGGCAGAGTTGTGGCTCCTGTGGCTGCGCCGCACTGCACGCCTTTGCACCGACGGACGAGCAACTATGACTCAGCAGAGACACTGGACACTGGGCTGACAAGGACATCAAGTTAGGCTAGTCGGACTAGTCGGCCAATTGGGCCAATGATGGGCCGGGTGGTTACAGTGATTACACTACCGGACACTAACATACTTACGTGCTGCAGTGCTGCACTGCATTGCTTCTATGAAACTATTATGGTAGGTAGCTTCTCACCGCCACGCCCAAGCTGCATACACCGTATACACCGAGATCGACCTCGTTTTGCAACACACTGATCATGAATCATGATAATCATGACATGCTTCCATGATCAGAATCATGAAACATGTGTTTGCGTTTGTTTGTGCCACACGACAAAATGACAGGGGGATGTTCTGACAGATGTGTCCTGTGTCGGTTGAGTCAATTCAATTCAATGTCTCTGATCATGCACGTCAGAAAACTGTACAGATTGTTTTGCTGCGATACCAGCATTATCACTCACTGGTAGTGCTGCAGGAACAGGTGTGCTAGGGTCCCAGAGTCGCAGGGTTCATCAATGAGATCATGATTAGCCATGATCCACGGGAGTTCACGGGTAGCATTGGTAGCATGACATGAACACGCCTGACGCTGCCAGCCAGCCAGCACTCATCACCCAGAAGTGCGACTTGAAAACACATTTGCAGATGCAGTTCGTCGGCCCAGGCCCACGTAACTTTTCGTGATGTGGTGCAGTGTTCTGCTCATTGCTGAGATTGCTGAGGTCAGTCAGACGGTCTGACGGTCTGAGTGCCCACCAGGGCCCGCCAGATTGCGAGATCTGCAAGTTGATTGAATGATGAAAATAAATCTGTGGGGCTGTGGGGACGGGGACAGTGACAGGGATGGGGGGGGGGGGGCACGGGCACGGCACGGGCTCACTACACTATTACGTTACGTAGGTGGCGGCTATTACTATTACTTGCGGACTGACTATATCGTGACTGTGACTATATCTATATAAACCGTAAACCATTTCTGATGAATATTACTATTCACTATTGTTATTCTTACTACTACAGTCACTACAGTGTTACTATAGCTTACTATAGCTGTTCAGTCCAGGATTCCCGGCCTTGGCATGGTTTCAATTTCATGGTTTCATGAGTTCACGTGACTTCATGTATTGTCATGTGGAACTGAGTTAATGTAGTTGTAGTCGCAGTGAATAGTAATACTTTAATACTGTGCATCGGCTGTACAGTGCATTATCGCGTTTGTTGTTCTCTGGCTTGCTGGCTTGCATGTGATCATGTGGCATGACTCATGACTGATGACTGTCACGACAACTCTTTGCAGTCTTTGCAGCCATTGCTGCAACCATGCCATTGTCATGCACTGGGTCATGGAGTCATGCATTATGCACAAATTCACTCCACCTTCAAGTCGCCCCAGTTGTGTAGCCGTGTCGTGTCGTGATTCATGATTTCAGTGCGTTTCAGGTCAGGACTTTCGCCGGTCGCCAATCACCGGTCGCGGGTCGCCCATTTGAGCCTTGTAAATAGTACTAGTGACGAAGCCGTTCGTCCAGACCGACTATTGTGTGCAAACATCATCATCACTTACACCGCTTCGACTGCACCTTGATGCAGATGCACATGTATTCATGAGCAGCATACACACGGTAGCTGTGACGAGTCGTGAGTCGTGCCATTTGCATCCTGTCGGACCCACACGTTATTTCCCATGTTTTCTTGATGCTGCATTTAGGCTGTGAATACATCATGAGACATGAGAGGCCGTGAGAGGCATGTCAGCATGGGTCCATGGGCAGTGGCCCCATGTCATGTCATGACACGACATGTCCGACATGTCATGCTCACGGCTCACGGCCGTGATGTGGAACTAAGCCAGTGGCTGTTAGCCGGTGGCCGGTGAGTGTGGCTGTGGCTCCATTGAACAATGGCTGTGTCGGGCTGTGTCGTGACGTGACGTGACGTGACCGTCCATGGAAACATCATGATCATCATGATCAAATACGGTCAATGAAAGCGTGTCCACTCAGTGTAACAATCTGCAACAGCGTGACATTTTGGTAGCAGTCCCACAAACAACCCCCATGCCGGAACCCGCCGGAACCCCAACCCCCCACCCCTACCCCCCCACCCCCGACCCTTTACCCCCCCGCCCCCCCGCCCCCCCCGCCCCCCTCCCCCTAGCCACCCCTTAGCCCCTTAACACCTGACACTGGCAAGCGCGTCAATGCTTTTTTGATTTATGTGGTCCCATGTGTACACCCGGCTTGCTTCAACATACAGCTAAGACTGCGCATTACGAACCCTAAACCCCAAAACCCCAAACCCTAAAACTCCTAGAAAAGACCTATCTAATCTAATCTACTTGCCACTCCTCCATCATGAAAGCAGTCCTAGGCATGGCCCCCAGACCCAGCATAATATAGGGGCCTTAATAATTAGAACAGGGTTTGCAGGTATACTATATCCATAATTGTAATAAGGAGCCCCCAAATTCCTATTCTAATTATTAAACGCTCCTACATTAGGCTTCCAAGCTAAGCCTCAAGGTTATCTACCCTGCTTGGCTCGGGGGTTCAAGGTCCTTGAGGGTCTTCGTCTTTGAGTCTCCAGGGCTTTTAAGGCCCCTTAGGGTTTGCTGATGCTCCCGTTGTATACACCATCGATTTGCTAGATTTTTTATATGAAACCTAAGGTAACGCAGGGTTCTGTCCATCAGCCGAGTCTTGCAATGCTGATCCCCGGGCCGCGGGCCCGATCTCACAGTCTTGACTTCTAATTTCCTTGCAACAAAAAATAGCCTCGGTATGTTATAGGGGGCTTAGGGGTTTAGGGTAGAACTTCAGCCCGAAACCCAAAGCTCAAGACATCAAAGCCGATGCCGTCGCTCACAAGTAGCCTGACTGCTCTGACCTTCCACGATGGATATGCAGTGCAAGCATCCAGCTGCCACAGCCAAACCACCAGTCACCCCGCAGGAATTTATGTGTAGCTCTGCATTGCAATACATACCTAGCTACACAAAGTGTGGCATGTTCGTTCCCGTTTAATCTAAACCAGAGAGCTACATTCTAAAACCTTAAGCCACAATACCTATTCCGTTTTTCTGGATAGCTGTGTCCCTCATCTGTGTGGTTCTTGTCTCATGGCAGGCCACGAGCAGCTGCATCACCTGCCGGGATGTGTACCTTCAGGCCAGGTGTCGGGTTAGTACAAGGGCTGCTAGAAGGGATGCTATAAGGTAAGGGTAGTATAAGGGTTGCTACAAGGGTAATGCCGTACAAAGGTATGCACTTTGGCTTCTTTAGTTGTTGCTTGTTTTTCTTTCGCGGGCATATTGTACTGTAACTATGCTAGAAAGGGTACTAAAGGGTTTGCTAGAGGGGTGACTACTGTGGTTCCTTCGTCAGGTGTACTCTAAGGGTCATGACAAGGGTTACCTACTACACGGCTCGGCCTCTGCGATCTTGTAGAGAACGTGGACTCCTGATTCCAAGACTCCTAGACCCGTATTTACGGGTTTAGGGTTTAGGGAAGGGTTTAGGGTTTAGGGTTATTTGCTAAACCCTAAACTCTAACAGTATTGCCGGGCAGCCCTCCTCAGTAGGCAGAGGGGCAGAACACGATCTACAGTTCTAAACCAAGACCATTACCCCCACCCGAAAGCCTAACCCCGAAACTAAATCCTGAACCCCTCAACCCTAAACCCTTTTGAACCCCAAGTTTTGACTCTGTTTTCCCATGTCTGTTGGTTTGACCTCTGTAGGTCGAATGTGGGGGTTTCCGAAAAAAGGGGACCCTAACATAGTACCCTAAATAGTAGGTTCTTTATTCTAAGGACTCCAAAATAAGGTCCCTAATTTTCGGAAAGTCCCATGTAAATTTTATGATGCCTCCAGGCCAACGACTGTGGCTTCCCGGGTTTAGACTCGACTATTCGGGGTTTCTCAAGGGTCTAGGGTTTAGGTGTTCCCTGAGAGGGTTTCTATAAAGGGTTTGGAGAATCCCATATAGTGGTCTCATTCATGTGAACCGGACTGTTTTTTTTATTTTTGGGAGGGGGAGGGGGTATACTATAAATAAATCGGTCGTAAAAAAAACCAAAAAAGCAGGATTAGGAATTATTCCTACTTCCATTATTAGGCTGAGCCTAAACCATCCTAAACTCCTCCCACACCCTCAAACCTATGTTTGCATTTGTCCCGGAGGTCTTGGACGGGTACACTGTGGCCAGTCCCAGATTGGCCATCCCTAGCCCAAGCACATTTCACGGTTTAGGGTTTAGAGTTTAGGGTTTAGGGGCTTAGGGTTTTCCATAGCCATGAATGCTCGAACCCACCACCCAGAAGCCCTGCATTCTAAGCCAATTCGAAGCTTTCATTGGCCTC